TGGTTTTCTTTCCTCTATAAAAAAAGAAACTTTGTGTAAGAAAGATAAATTTTCTTTAAATCTCCTTAATATTTGTTACTGATTAGTTGTGTATAGTATAAAACTTGCTTGAAAGTAAAGGTTTTTGTGTATAAAAGTGTTTTCTTGTGTGTATTAAGCTGACTTATCTTGTTTTTTAATAAAATTATCAAAAAAAGAAATTTTTAAGAAAACTAGGAATCAATGGAAAAAGTAAAAAAATTGTTACAATAATAATAAATTGTTGACAATTATTTATATAGATAAAAATTAATCTAATTATATTAAGAAATATAATATTATTCTTAAAACTTAACTTAAAATACTTATATATAATAAGAATTAATTACTTTGTAAAAGTTTTTAAATTATTATAGATTTTATTTTAATTTCTCAATAAAAACAAGTTATTGTAATATAATTATAAATTAACAATAAATAAATAAATTGTACATATTAATTATAAAAAGATAATTAAAATATAGAAGAATTATTATTTAAAAAAAGTTTAAATAGTTATTAATAAAAAAGTAATTAAAAAAATTAATAGAACAATAAGTAAAATTTTAGAAAATTTAAATAGATAATTAAAAAACTATAATTGAATTTTTTTTTTTAAACTGGTAAAGTCCTGCCATTGAGTTTTTATTTATTCATTAATACAGGCTTATGTACACAAATTTAATTGCGAGTCTATACATTTATGAAAGGAAAAAAACACTATGACTCAGTATTCTATTACTAGAAACCCTGTGACTTGCTGCAATCCACCTTGGTGGGTGCTAGCGTGTCAAGATTCCACTAGCACTAATATTAATAGAAAAGAAGAAATAAGGAAAATAACTATTTTTCAATGTTTTTTCTATTATGATGTTCATTAGTTCTATATATAGTTCCCTGAACCTGTCCTTTACGTGTTTCTTAAGATTGATTTGGGCCTGTTCTGGTTTCGGATCAGCCTCGAAGCTTCTGATAGCCTGTGTTATTGGTGAGTCCGGGCTTCGTGGTGTAGTTCGTTGCTTATCTGTTTTGCTGTTGGCTCGCTTCTTTTGGTGTTTAAGTTTTTTGTTTATGTTTTGACTTTTTTCCCATTCTATTATGTTATCGCATCTAAGTTTTCAGGCTTCTCGTTTGACTTGCCAGAACTTGTGTGTTGCTTCTCGGATTGCTTCCAGTGCTCTGGATCTGTCCTTTGTTATGGTCTCTGCTATTTGTATCATACCATGTGTTATGACTCCCCTAACTATATCCTTTCATTCGATTTGGTGCCTTGTATTACTGTTTTCCTTGTGTCCCTGTATTCTTAGTATTCTTTTTCATTTGTTTTGAATTGGTTCTGTTTGTTTACCTTCTGCTCTTGCTGCACATTCCTTTGTCAAGGCCTGTATGAGCTCTTCTTGAAGTCTTGTTGGTGTTGTGCCACATTGAAAGATATGGTCATTTGTTTCTCTGTGCTGTTTACAGATTTTGCATTTATCATTGGAATAAATATCAGGACGTCTTTCGCTTAGTTTGTTCATAGTAGGTAGTTCTCCCATCCATGTTTTAATTCTGAATGATCGGTCCATATGGTCTCTCGTATTAGTTGATGATGCTGTGATCACTGTTGGCATTAGGAGCTCCAAGGTCATAGGTCAGTGGATTTTTCAAGATTTCTTCTGGTTCAGCCAATCCTGGTTTCTTTGTAGTGTTCGCCATTTACTTGCCCATTTGTTTTTGAGAATTTGTCTTGTTAGGGGCTTGATTTTGATATCGTATTGTTTTTGGTTCCATCTGATGAGTATGTTTGTTGATATGGAAGTTTTTGTGTTTATTGTTATAGTGTGTTTGGGTTTATCTGTTAGGTTCGTCGATGCCAGCTGGTTTACCTTTTTATTGCCTGGAATGCCAGAGTGACTCTTGACTTTTGCCCAGATGACTGTGAGTTTTTTCATTTTTGTTAGGTTCCTAATGGTGCTACTGAGGATTTGATTTGACTGATGTGTGTTTCTTCGATATCTCCTTTGTGTTGAAGGCTATCCTAGTGTGTTGATTACTGTCTGACTATCTGTGAAGATTGTGATTGTTTTGTTGATGCTAATGGTACTTATTGCAGTCATGATAGCCATTAGTTCTGCTCTTGTGAAGGGGTATCATGTGTTTCTGCTTGAAATTCTGCTACTTGTTTTCCTTCTTTGGTGGTTACGATCCAGCCTAGTCCCATTCTGCTTCTTTCTGGATGTCTCGTGAAAGAGCCATCCGTGTATATTTGCAAATCATTTAGTTCACTCAGTTCTTTTGCTATAGTTGAAAGCTGATCTATACTTTTAGAATGTCCCATTAATCTACTGTGTATTAGATGCATTGTCTCTGAGAATGGATCCATATGGAGCTGTGGTATTGTTCTTGGAGTTATTGATTCTGCTATTCTCTTATGCAGTGCTTTCTTAATTCCCTTGGGAGTAGAGCGTAGCCTGTTTGTCGTGTGTTGCTATTCCGTTGGCTGATCTTTTTGGGAATCAGCTGATTTTGAGCCTTTATCTACTGTTACATTTACTATTCTTGCCCTTATTAGCTCTGCAATACATTGACCTTGTTCCTTGTATTGGCTTCTCAGTTGTTGATTGTTTTTTTTACATCCTTTGCATTTGAAAAGAGGGATGTTGATGGTGATGATATCATGTGGTTGGCTATGATTTTGTCTGAATCTGTCATTCTCCTTTTCTTGTAGATTGCAATTTCGCCATCTGATTCTGTAGCTATCCACTTGATTGTTATCTGTGTTTGTGATGGGAGAACTGGGGTATTGCTGCGGAAGCTGTTGTTGGTGTCACTAGTAGAAGATTCCACTATGTTTGTATAAGAGTTCTGGTTTGGGTCTATACATATGATTTGTCGTAGGTCTTGGAACCATCCAGGAGTTCTGCCTTGTCTTCCTTTCTTTGTCCTGAGTTGTTGCCATGTGAGGGGTCTTAATAGATCATCGTTCATGAGCTGTTCCTTGAATAGGATTCCTCTTTTTCTCAGAGCTTATCTGTTTTGGTTATAACATTTGCTTGAGGTGATGTCTTTGATTGCTGTCTTTCCTCCACTAGGTGCAGTGCAGATTATTGTATGGTTTGTCATCTCAAAAGTAATATCCTGAACTTTGAGAATGTTGAGAATGTAATTTGTAAGATTCTATCGTTTTTTGATCCAGAATAGGTATTTATCTTCTAGAATTGATACATTTGACCAGTATCGATTTTGAAGTTGTTGCAGTCTGATCCATGCTGTTTGACTACATGTGTCTGATCTGTTGATTCTTTTTTTCTTATTTCCATACAACATGACCTGTCTGTCCCACATGTTGAAAAGTTTGTATCCAAAGTCTGCATGAATAATGGCATTAGGGGCTGTCCTGGGCAAATTGGTTTTGTGTTTGAAAGTTTTAACTATCTTGCTGTTAAGTCGATTACATTCTTGTTCAGATAGGGTCAGGTCATTAAGGAGGTACTCAACTACTGAGTATAATACATGATTGATTATGTATCGTGCCTATTTATCTGTGATTCTTTTCCATCTAATGAGGTTCATTGTGTTGTCGATTTTTTCCCATATAAGTTGTTTTTAATGTTGTTTTTTCCTGTCCTCTGATATCCATACTCCTAGGATGTGAGCCGTTTCATTTTTCTTTAAGGGTATAACCTTGGTTCCTGCCATTGTGACTCCTTGTACCCGGTCATCTTTATTCGCATTGATACAAATGAGTGATGACTTGTCTCCATTTGCCTGTATGTCATTGATGTGAAGGAATTCTGATGCTGTATCCAGGATACTTTGCATGTTAGATCTGTTTGAGGCATATCAGGTGGTGTCATCCATATATGCTGTTGCTGTGATCATTTGTGATCTAGAGTGTTGAGATATTCTGTTGTTATTGTCCCTAGCAAGGTTGAAGCTTCATGTCACTTTCATTACATAACCCATTTTTTTGTCCTCTATTTCTTGTATCAGGGAATCATAGAAGATTCTCCACAAGAGTGGAGATATGGTGTCTCCTTAATCGATTCTGTCTTGAACTTTGTATTCTTCTATATACTCATATACTGTGATAACTCTATTATGTCTATCTATTAGGATATCTTCTAAAATGTTGATAATTTTCTCTGGAAGTTTGATTCGTTTCAGTGCCAATATCATCATGTCTTTGTTTATTGAGTCATATGTCTTGCTTATATCTTGGCTGAAGATTCACACCTCTTTCTCTGTTTCTCTTGCTTCTTCCAGGAGATTGTTCATTATGTGTATTGGCTGTTGCGTGCTACTACCTGGAAGTCCTGCCCAGTTACTCCTTGATGTTATGTGATGTTGATTTAGTATTGCTGCTATTCTGTTGTTAAGTATGGACATGAAAACTTTCCTAGTTGTTTCTAGGAGGATGATTGGTCGCGTGATGTTAATGTCTCCCATCCAGTCTTTAAGTTTAGGAATTGGGTAGATTTCTCCTTGTTTTCACTCCTCTGAAACTTTTCCTGCTTCTATGATCTGATTGTAGATTGTTTCTAAAAACTGGAGACCCTTAGGCCCTAGATTCCTTAATACAATGTATGATATTTTTGTGGGTCCTGGTGTGCTGTATTTGTTTTTTGCTTGGATTGCTTCTTTGATTTCTTGGATATCAATCCTGGTTGTGCACTGGTTATACCATTCTTGGTTGATGTGTTCGATTGGTGCATATCTGGTGAGCCAGTTTGGATAGGTGTGCAGGTCTGCTGTTTTCCTGTGTTGAGTCCATTCCTTGAAATGGTGCCTGACTTTGGTTTTGATTTCATTTGGGTTTGTAATAATCGTGGTCTCCTCTGTCCCTATATGTTTGATCAGTCTGCTTGTGTCTATCTTCCTGTGGGGCCTATCTAGTATACTATCTATCATTCTTCTTGGTTGATCTTGTAGGAGTTTGAAACGCTTTTCTATTCTATCGTTGATGATCTTGGTTTTCTCCCTTTTTATTGCTTGTTGAGCTATCTTGTTTTCTATCTTCCAGAGTTCCTGTAATTCCTTTAGCCAGAGGTACTGTTGAATATGAGTGTTAGAGATGTTGTGTCTATTAATTGGTGGGTTATCTATTCTCTCTCCATTGTTGTTTATAGCTCCTATCATTCTTACTAACTTTTCCTCCATTACGGTATCTGGCTTGTTGTTGTTCAGGTATCTTTTGTATGTTCTGTAGTTCTTCCCAATTAAGAGTGTGAGCCTCATCTTGTCTCTGTATTTGTATGTGTGGATTGTCTTGATATTCTTGCTCTTTCTTCATTTCTTGAGGTGCCTTTTGCTAGCTTCCAGCAGTGTGTTTTTAAATGGTTCCATAGCTCTTCCAATGTGTGTGGTTTGCATGAGGGGGGCCAGTGTGACCTTTTCCTTCACTGTCTTCTTGAAGTTGTTTCATTGTTTGTTGGATGAGTTCTCATAATCAATTTGCTTTGTGTTATTGTTTTTCCTGTTTGCAACTTTGTTCCAGTGTTGGTGCGGAATGCTGGTAGTGATTGTAACCATCTTGTGATCTGTAGCTATTGTTGTTATCAGTAATGTATGTGATGTACTGGTGATATGTTGGGCCATTGGTCTTGATATCCATATGTAGTCCAGTCTGCTGCCATATGCACTTTTGCTCCTAATGTATGTGTAGCTCTTTGTATTTGGGTTTAAGTATCTGTATGTGTCGGTGAAGTCAAGGGTGATGAGTGTATTGATTATCTCTTTGTTATGTATGCCCAGCTTCTTTTTGTTGATAGTTCTGTCTAGCTCATTATCGGCTATTTTGCTGAAGTCCCCCATTACCATTATGAAAAAGTTTTTGTTTGTTGCTTCCTGAATGACTTGCTTCAGCCATTGAACCAAGTTGTAGTTATTTCTTCTTTGTGTAGAATTAGAGGGGCTGTAGATCACAATTATTCTGTACTTAATTTTTGCCTTGAAATCCATGTCGATGTAAATGCCTCTGTCTTGCCAGGTTCCAGATTTATATATGTATATTACCCATTCTTTTTTTATGATTATTCTGACTTCTGTACCTGTTTGGTATTTTATGTCCCTTGTTATCCATATTGCGTATTCATTTTCTTCCTTTGTCCACCTGTGGCTGTATGGTAGCCATGTTTCTGTGATCCCTATCATGTCATATTGTTCTTCTTTTGCGAAGGTTGTAAGTGCGATTTGTTTGTTCTCTTCATTGATACCTCTGATATTTATTGTACCAATCTTCCATCTGTTGCTTGTGTTGTTGTCTGTGTTTAAGGTATTTGCTATATTTGTTGATTCAGTTTGATGTTGAAGTATTGTGCTGAATGTGTTGTCAATTGATCCTTCTATTCCTAATGGGTTTTTCCCTGATATTTGTTCTGTCATTTTATTGTGATAAGTTGGGTCCTAATGAGCTTACCGGTTGTGAAAGTTTGAATAGGTTAATTGCTTCCTCCATCATGGAGCTCATTTTGTTGAGTTGTTTCTGATATGCTTCTTGTGATGCTCTGATGTCCTGGATGTTGATGTTTGGAGTCATTCCTGTTTACGTCTTGTCTGCTGAATTCTCTTCCAGTTCTTCCATTAGTTTGTTGACATGTTCTGGGTATCTGTTGGCGCACTCCTGTTCTAGGGCATCTACCCTCTCATCTAGGTCTCTAAGTGAGACTTTTATTTCCTGGATTTTGTTTTGCAAGGAGAGGAGTGTTCGTAGAGGTCTTCTTCTGCAGGGTAGTTGTTAGTGTTACCTCCATATTTGATGATGTTTGCATAGCTTCTGGGATTGTTGGAGTGGTTGGGGCTCCTGAGTCTATGGTTTGATGTGATCGTGGATCTGGTTCTTTGTGAGGTTCTTGGGTTGTTGGATCAGTTGGTATATTGTCTGAGTGGTGTGACTTCTGATTTCTCTGGGCATAAGGACCAGTTGTGTTATGGTGAGCTACATGTGGGACATAGTCTGGTTTCACGATTGACCCATCATGTCTGTACTTCTCCAATCAATGGTGCAGTTGTCTTTGCCATTTAAAGGTCTTCTTGCGTCTCAAAAGTGAAGATGGTGAGTTTTTTGGCCTGATTGTTGTTATCCCGAGGGATGTAGCATAATTTTGCTTTTGTGCTGGTGATGATTACTGCTAGATCTGATGCTGCTGTATTGGAGGGTAGTTGAGTAAGTGTTGTGCTGAAACGTTTTCTTTCTTGTTTGATTTCATGTATTCTGTAGAAGAGGAATATTCTGCAAGAGTGATATCCACGTCCAATTGACCATTCCCGACTAATTTCCACGTAGTCTGACATGTTTGTAAAGGTGATGTTAGCTGATTGGAAGGGGTCTGCTCTTTGCATGGTTATGTAATCGATACTGATTTGATTGTCGAAGAACTCTGCTAGATCTGTTTTGGTGAAGTGTTGTGGAATGTCCCATACTCTGATGGTTTGGGACTTACTCTCATGTGATCCTGGGTGGGCGATCCTTCTAAGTTTGGCAAGTTCATTATCTGTGATGTTGATCTGTATGCCTTGTATAAATCTTCCTGATCGTCAAAAATGGCAGCGATCTTTGGGTAACCAGTTGGATATTCATATTGCACATATTTCAGGGAGTGTAGCTCCCCATTTTTTGCTTGATAAAATTTATTTTCTCGTTCTGTGATTGCTCTGGAACTAGGTCTAGGTCAATGAGGGCTTTTCCTGGTCTCTTGGTCTGTGGGTATTCCGTATCTTTGAGTGGTTCTTATGTGTTTCCTAAAAGTAATTATTAATTGATTATTTAAATAAGTAAAGTGATTATTAATTGATTAATTAAATAATTAAAGTGATTATTAATTGATTAATTAATTGATAAAGTGATTATTAATTGATTAATTAATTGATAAAAGTGATTATTGATTGATTAATTAATTGATTAAAGTGATTATTAATTTATTAATTAAATAATTAAAATTAATAATCAAGGATTAATAATTAATCAAGTATCAAAAAACTCTTTCCTGAAAATTTCAAAATCGCAAAAAATTTTCTTTTTAGGCAAAAAATATAAAAACTCATTCCCAGCTACAAGAGTAGCGCCCCAAGCAACATGGCTTCCACAAGTCAAATGAGAAGCCTGTCAAGGCAAACTACACTAGAGTACAACATTGACAAGATAAGCAAGAGCAACAGCAGAATCTTGAAAGCGAAAGTGACAATACTGACATCCCAACTCAGACACACTCCCCTCGGAACCAGATCAGCTCTTTCCAAAAAACCAACCGACAAAGGAAAAGAAAAGGAATTGGAGAGCTCAAGGACAGAAACAGAAGAAATGGAAAAAAAAGAAACAAGCCAGGTAGTTGAAAACACAGAAAGTATTGTCACAGTAGAACATTATTCCCTCTCACAGTTGAAGTTTCAGAGGATAGGAGCATCCCAGAGCCCCAAGCAGAAGACAAGCAACTCGGCATCACTAACCAGACAGGCTACAGCTATAGGGACCAAATAGACACTTTGAAGAGACCAGTTATACCAAGAGACATTCAAGACAGACAAGCCTTCTCCAAGCCATAGAAGGCATACATCGATCCAGACCAGGTACCAGGACAAACCACTAAGGAAAAAACTGAATTAGTGAAATGGAAAATGGAACACCTCCCCTCCCTGAAGTATGTGAGAATAGAACATCCAATCGGAAGACCACAAATCACAGCTATTTTTAGCAATCAGGAGGATGCGCACAAAGCGCTGCACAATAAACTTACAGACTATGATGGCATTAAATTTAGAATGATTGCTCCACTAGGTTCCCAAGACAGCAACTCCTGCACTATCAGGGTATGGGATATCCAACAACACTTTACCAAAACAGACATGGCAGAGTTCTTTGATGAACAAATCAGTATTGATTACATTACCTTGCAAAGAGCAGGACCTTTCCAGACAGCGAACATAATATTCTCCAACACATCGGATTATGTAGAAATCAGCCAAGACTGGGCTCTCACAAAAGGACTTTACTCATGCAAAATATTTCCCTACTATAGGACACATGAAGTTAGAGAACAAAGGGAATGCTTCAGTGCAACACTAACCTCCCTACCTTCAGACACTATGACAGCAGATTTAGCGGTCACCATCATAAGTACCAAGGCCAAGTCAGCATACATCCCCAGAGACAACAACAATCGAGTCAAGTGATTTGCAGTTCTTACCTTCCAATCCAGGGAAGAAATGTAAGAGGCGAAATCAATAGCCCCCATGATTCAAGGAATCCAGACACAATAGGTAGACCGAAAAACAAGACTATGCCTCATTTGCAGCTTACCAGAATACAATATGCATATATTCCTAACAGCACTGAATCCCTTTCCCCAAGGCAATACACCAATAGGTTCAACAATCCAAGAATGCCACATCACCTAGGTATAGAACAAGTCTCAATCACACTAGCTATAGGAATTATAGAATGGAAGATCCAAGAAGCTACACAAACATTTTGAAATATGGAAAAAACCCTATTAACAACAACTATGATGACAACATCTGGCAAGCCCTATCAACAATCCAGAGAGAAATCAAAAAGATGAAGGACTCCCTTCAAGACCTGAATGAGAGAGTAGATACCCTAGAACAAGAGTGCACAAACAGATACCCAGAAAGTATAGGTGAACTTATGGAAGAGCTAGAAGAAGCCACTCCTACTAAAAGTGAAGAGCAAGTAGCAGGGATAGGCATCAAGATCCGAGACATCAAAATGATACAGGAAGCATACCAGCAATAGCTTAACAAGATGAGTATAACGATGGAGGAAACAATCAACCTCTTCAAACTATTCCAACAGACAGTCTTACCAGGGCACAACCCTCCACAATAATATAATATGATAAATATGACTTAACAAAATCCTCAGTTGAGGAAATGTAGTAAAACAGACAACACAACTTCAAACTCCCCAACTCTTCATGAACAGTTAACCCAAAGCAATAGCAAATACACAAACAAAATAAATCACAATAAAATAGCAACAGTCAACCATCCCATCTGGACAATAATAACACACAATATTAGAGGCATAATAGATGAGAACAAACGTAAACTATGGTTGGAATATTACTTAGAAAACAGCTGGGAAATTGTCATTACAACAGAAACTAATGGAGACTTAAATCAGATTAAACACTGGAAACAACCAGGATATCAATTAATAACTTCAGTGAATTCAAGAAGAAAGATTGGACATGGGATATGCATAGCAATCCATAAAGACA